TTTAATAAATTCGGTATTATTCGAAAAGAATAGTGCCTCTTAAATTCGATCTGCAATAATTTTTGACGTCGTACCATCGTCGTCGTCGCTATCTCTGACGCAAACGTGTTTAAAACCCGTCGACTCCTTGCGCTAGGCGATATTGTTCAGACTTTCTTACGTTACAATTCTGTACGTGTCTATCCTGTATGAAGATTACGAACTCGAGTGGAGGCCAGGAATATACGAAGGATATTCGTTGGCCTTGACCGGCTGATCCCATCTCGACCTCGAGATTCCCGAGGCCGGATGCAAAATTGAACGCGTCTCGTCGATAACGGGATTTAATCGCATGTCGTCCATCTTTCACGATAATGTGATACGATACGGAAAAATATGTGCATTCACGATTCTATTTCTCGGAACACCCAGATACGCTGTATACCGGATATCCCCGATTGACCAATTTCTTGTGAAAATTGAGAGATGAGTCAATCCAGTTCGTAATAAAGTAAATAAAGTCGTAGAGTAATCAATCTCTTTTTTGGTCTTCGTTTCCGTTGGAAACGACGAAAACACGAATTTATCACAGTGACGCGAATCTTTGCGAGCTGAAGCTGAATAAATCGTCTGAGAATGCCGCCTGAGAATCGCAACTGCTGAGGGCGCAATGTTAACTCTATTATTATTGGCCCTTGCGTTAATTTCTCGGTATTACGCGTTACTGTAGTACCGGTACTAAGAATCGTGATTCATCGTCGATACTCCGAGTTTTTGATCGCTCGACGATACGATACCATCGACCATTCGCAGTGGTCGTAACGGTCAGGTTCTACCTACTGTCTTCTACAGTCTGAAGAAACACTAACCACGAGTTTTTCCCTTTACTCTTCTCACGTTTCACGATACATTTCGTTCGCTCGGTTTAGGCTCTAAACCCTTATGAAATGACAATAATCATAACAGATATATCTCTTATCCTATTGATATTTGGAAGGATATTGGAAATGGGTTAATAAATGAAATTTGTTGAATATAATCTTTTGTTATAATGATTCGGAAGAACTCCGCACTGCAAATGAGGAAAACCAAGAGCCTACCGATCTTGAAGAAGTTTTCGGACCTAATCAGAGAAAACCGACCCAGGACAGGCCTCCTGTAATAAACAGTCATATACAAGTGATTGGCTCGTGCTATGAACATGCTGTGTTAAGAGTACAGTTTCTAAACATAAGATTCATTTTTGTTATCTATATCTATAAATAATCCGACAGAGGAGATAAATATACTGTATGAATAAAGATTTGCTACGATGTTTTAACTATGCAATGTCCCAACTGTTTGTATTAATAAAGAACAAGATTGAAATTAAGAGAAGACGTAGATGTTAGATATTAAAATTAAGACGAAAATATCGGTAACGTTACAATACGTTGATAATCGCGCGTGAACGATCATTTTATCGAGTACCTTTTTCGTCACGCGGCGGGCAAGGGATGCCGCTAATAACGTCGGGATTACGCGATCGGGGATCCGGCTTGTACGATCCATAATTACGGTATTTATCTGCCATCGCATCGGTAAAATGGTAGTTGCCGTAATTCCGATCGGCGAACGCGTACGCGGTGTATATTAACCACCCGCGCGTTAAAAGCTCGTTTCGTCGAATCCCGATTCTAGTGAGTATCGTATCGAGTAGCGCGTGGGAATCGGGCAACGATGTTTCGAGCCTCAAAGTCTTCATTTCACGTCATCTTCCGTTTTGATTATACTCGAAGTTTTTACACGACTCGAAAGACGGAGAGCATTTTACGCTCACGTACGTATTATATTTACGATACGTATTACGTGCCTGTGGTATGATTGCGCGGATGATCGACGCGCGAAAGTATGACGTAACCGAGAGAAGCGTTTCGGACGCTTCACACAGCCCACGACCAACGAGTATCTACGTGTATACGCATGTAACGAGCATTTCATACTTTGGTACACCGTATGCACACACCCGTGTGCCGTGTAGGAGTAGAAAGTTGCTATTGTGCCCTGAGATCTAGTTTTCTATCTAGCCAGTATCTATAAATAGCCCCTTTCGCAGGATTCGAGTCATGGTTTCAACTTCCGTGTATAATACTTGACTCCCGTTTTAAAACCTCGACGCACTTATACAAATTTTCGACGCAATTCGACCCGATTCGGGTTAAAGTCAGGCAATAACTCGGCGCGATGCATCGCTTCTCGCTTTCGAGATAGCGTAGATAGTATGGGTAATGTATTTCTATCCGTGTATTCCTCGATGCAGCGGTCGCTTTTTCTTTTCGATGTCCTCGCGACGTCGCCGGGCTGACCCAGATCCGTCCACGACGCTTTCGGAATAAAAGGACCGCTTGGAATTCAACCGCGAATCCACGCGTTCAGTGCATACGAGAAGTACGTAGCGGGTTCCGCGCGCTGTGTGCGTGTTTGTATGCACTTCTTCGAACGTATCGCACGCTTCCGTGTCCTTGTTGGACGCCGAAAGCCGAAACACTACGGCTCGATAATATCGTCCTTCATTCGAAAATGAGGGTACCAAACGAATGGAAGCTGTGCCAAATTTGCCGATCGCATTTAATCATACGTGCTTCATTATTTTCCTTTATGCGCAGTTATGTATGCACTCCGTTTAGTTCGAAACGGATTAACGTTTATACCGAATAACGTATAACAGCTGTTATCGGGTAACATTTCATGAAAATTGCATTTCGAGGGAAACTTTTCACGGGATTTGATCGAACACCGAACTCATCGTATCGTCTAGGTTGCGGTAGCACGCGTCGTGAAAAATTGTTTTTTATTTTCAATTTTCTATCATCGTCGGGTATGACTACGACGGTATGCGGAGATATAATTTTCAAGGTTGCTGCATTTGCGAGATACGATACAGCGTCTTCGTGTCGCGACCGTGACGCATCGATGCTCCCTCGCGCCAGAGTTTTCGCGAGCAATCCAGTACGACTAAACAAACGTGTCGCTAAAAATAAAAATGGAACTTCGTTGGAGAGAGAGAAAGCATAGCTTTCTGTAAACTTAAACGGTAACCACCGCCATTTCACCGTCTCGCGTCGCGATGCGGTCACGCGTATTGATCTTCGCATTGCTACAATTGCATAAAAATAAATCTCCTATGGATTCCTTTTTGCAGGAGTGAATCCTCTACCTCCGTAATCCGACAATGAACTTTTCCAAAGGTTTCCTACATATATATTTTTGAAGGTCTTTCTCTAAGCAGTCTAAGCTAAACTTAAAAAGATCGTAAAAAGTTTGAAACGTTTCCTTATTCAATACCGCGATACTTAATTACGGGCTTGGCGACATACGGTGAAAACGAAGTGATCGACCGGTGACGAATCGATCGGATCGCGTCGCGATTCGGGCTGTCAGTTTCCGGTGCGAGGTAGGCCGTAGTCATAGTCATAGGCAGGAAATCGAGGAGAGTGTGCACTTCCGGAAGCGTTGATGCGCCGAATAGGTGGTTTCCGGTGGTTTCCGGTGGCGTCGCGCCGTCGTCGTTCCGTGAACGACGGGAGTCGATGCGTCGGACCGTGAATTCAATTTGTCACGAGGTGAGTCGAGGCGAATAGAAACGCGAATGACTATGGTCTATACATATATCTCATTGTAATGTACGTCTGCATGCATATCTCCCTACGGTAACTGCCTTCGCGGCACGATGACGAGACGCTGTACCGTCTACGGGCTATCACGGGCCGCAGTGCAACGGGCCGATGCTAGTTCTACGGGCCACAGGTAGAAAAGTGTCATGTTCGCGTTATCGCAAAGTCCGGTTGGCCCTGAGTGGACGGAGGTCAGCTCGTTGACCCGGTCCGTGCAGTACTCTGCCGTCTACTCGAGTACCTACGCAACAGTCGTGGACAAAAGCAAGAAGCAGGAGCATCTACGCGAATAGATTCATGAGTTTTGAAGCGAACGCGGAACGCGGTCGGCGATCGCTACCACTTGCTGCCACTCGCCGCTCACCGTTCACCATTCACCGCTCACTCTTCGATTCTTCGGCCACCTACCAGATATTCGCCATAACGACGCGACAAAACACGATAGTTTATTAATCAATTACGATCTATGAATTTATCTACGTATTTTTTTAAAAACTCGCGAACCATCGTTTTTTATTAACAACGCTTATCTATCGAGGGTGCGCGGGTGAACAGCGTCATAGTAGTCATTCGAAATTATCATGTTAAAACGATAAATCGAACGAAATAACAGGCGAGCGAGCGAGAGAGAGAGAGAAGGGAAAAAGAGGAACGAAACGGACAGCCTGTCTGTAGTATCGAATCTATTAACACGATCAGCCCTCCTCTGACTCCCGCCGCGATTCCATTAACCGCCTCGTTACTCTTGCATACATTGTACTAGAGCTTGTTACGAAACGAACCCTCTGTTCTCGCTTCTAGCGATCGATCGTCGCGAACGGAAAGAAAACGTCGTTCGCAGCGTTCCCGTGATTAACTTAGATAACTCGAGTATGATTTCGATTATTTAAACTACGAAATAATTGTTCCATGGTTTCTATATACTTACGCGCTTATTAGTTACTTATGTATTTATATTGAGTATAAAGAAGACTACCATTGAATGGAATTGGAATTGGCATGGGTCGTGTGGATCGATCCGCGATCGACGATACGACGAACGAGTATTGCTACGATGCAGGCGGCAGATTCTCGCAATTCTCCTACCTCGCATTTCTCGGCTTCTCGAATCGAACAACGACACGCGACAGGAACGCGCAACCGGGACGGGAAGCTATTCTAACATCGTCGTATAGAAGAGTCCGACGTTCATTTCGTTCTTATCCGATTCAGCCTGTACCGGGATATGTATTTACTGTTCGACGATATAGTATTATGCATCCGCTATAGGTAGTTATCAGCTATTTAGGATAGCACGCGTCCAAAAAGAGGAGATGATAAGCTAACTGTATTTAAATATAAAGAGATCGAATGGGTTTTCGATTGCAGCTTCGACGAGACGTCGATGGACAGTTGCTCGTTAATTACGACGCCGGTGATGATCACCGAGGCGAGGGATAACGACTTATCGAAGGATAGTAATGAGACGGATGTGACGTCTCTGGAGGAGGCCAAAACGGTAATAGCTGCGCTACGAGCGAGACAACGGGCACAAGCACACCAGATGCTCGTTTGGCGAAGGACTCTCAAGTTGCAGGTATGTACTACTTGAAACGCAAAACGCGCGGTTTTAATGAAGTCAGGTCGAGAATCGAAAGTGTACTTTGAGCAGACTGAATATGCGTATGCGTCTAGAATGGATATGCTGCGCGTAATATCGACAACCGCGTTCCGATCGCGTATTCCTGTGTCCCAAGGTTCGCGCATCGCCGACCCTCTTCTATTGAAGAGTTCGAATAGCAATCGTGAAAATATTTTGAGTTTAGAGCATTTAGAATCGACCAAATAATTACTAAATTCCGTACAACAGGCAACGATTCGAAATCGCGCAGTTATAGTTTGCAGATGAAGAGGAACCCTATTCCTCCTTTTGCAGGAGGATCTCGTGGCACGGCTAACAAGAGAGAAGGCGGAGCAACTCCGAACGCTGTCTTCGCAACTTTTGCTGTTCGAGTCGAGGCTTTGTCGCAAACAGAAGGAAATCGAGGCTAGTCTGGCGCAACGAGAGTCCATTATTCTTCGACAGCAAAGAGTGATTCGGCAGTTGCAGAACAGGTTGGCGGAGAGGAGCTCAGGCACGAGGGACTCGCCACCCTGCGACGCCCTCGATAGATTGGACAACCTCGGCGACAGCGACAGTGCCGTCGTACTCGAAGAAGCCGTCGACGATTCCGTCGACGATTTAGCACCTCCTAGGTATCGAATCAATTTGTTTAACATTTGGTACGATTGCATGTATTTACATAAATAGCTTTGTCGATGGCGAACGCTATTACTCGATCAATTTTCCGCATTTCTATTCGAGATATTGAGTTCTCGATCCTCTTCTCTTTCATTCACCATTTATTAATGATCCACGTTTGCTGTTATGCGCAATCTATATTTTATATTTCTGTCTGTACATCTCGGTTTTTGGGAGTTGAAGTCGTGTTGATAATTATCGATGCATATCTTCGTATTGGTCCGACAGATTCCGTTCTAACATCAGTGATGTGACTGTGATCCGTTCGGTATCGGACGCAGTGGAACCATCGAACAAGTACTCGTCGATGCGACGATGCAACGGATATCTGCGGAGGCCAGAAATTCTAGAGACCGTTTACTCGGTAGAGGAAGACGGAGATAACGAGAATAATCAGGATCCATCAGAGTCGACCGAGAATTCCGAATGCGACGACAGGCGAGGGAAAAGTTTGGGTAACGGGAAAGGTAGACTTCAGGATTTGTACGGCAGTTTCGAGAGATTGGCTCAAGAAACGGATTCTCCTCCTAACGAAAGACCGAGAGACGAAAGTCAACAGGCGCAGGTGAGCGACTTTTATTTTAGTCTACATATTCGCTATTTTCTGTTTTTGCCGCAGGTCTCTCTTCTGTTGGCCGCGTACGAACGCAAAAATGCAAGCCAATGAACAAGATGCGACGTCTTATTTTTCAGGTCACGTATAACAGGGTAATGAGCAATCACCGATCAGTCACGAAACCAAAAGACGTCAAGTATAAGAGGATAAACAAAGCGAAATCGAAAAGTTTGGAGGAGTTAAGAGGACGATTGAGAAACTGGGTCGAAAAAGGAAACAAAATCGCTATATCGTTGGATCAATCGTACGCCTAAACCTGTACCTCCTCTGCAAGTGCTATTTGTATTCGCGTAAAAAAATTATCGACGACGGCAATCGAAATCGATCGATCGCTGCCCGATACAAGTATCCATACATACATACATGTGTATGTATGTATAAATGATTGAAATTCTCATCGCTCCATGTGATATTTACTGTGTAGTGTTTCGAGAATCAATTAAAAACTTTGCGTGTCGCGGAACGATGTCGCGTTGCCTGTAAACGATTTTCAAAACTTGTGATATATAACGTATGTATATATTTTAATAGGACCACGTTGTCTAGTGATAATTATACTACGATGTCGCGCGATGCAATCGTGACAAGGCCGATAGAAGGAGAATGAAGAAGCGGGATAATCGATCGAATCGACAATCCATTGCTACCCGTGTGCGTATGCGACTGTACACGTTGTTGTAGTGTATCTTATGAAAAGTGTTTCGGAAATACCGTTTCTCTTCTTTCGTTTTTTTCTTTTTCTCTAATGTCTTTCCCTTTTTATTACCACTTCCACAAAAAACTCGCGGTCTGTCGATATGAACGTTTCGATACGTATGAACGCGAACCGTTTTTAGTTTTTAACTCGAATCTTTTCGTCAATTACAAATGCTCATGCCACGACGATCAACATGATAAATCGTTTAATCAAGAACGATATTGACAGAAACTAAGTCGATCGCTATACCTTTCTTCGAGAGAAATAATGTAAGTGCGATCGCGTCGTATAGAATATTTATGCTCCGACATAATATAGCTCTCCGTAATATTAGTAATAATAATAATACATTATTCATGGACAGAAGCCCATTGTAACATACAATGAAAGTAAAATGTAAAGTAAGAATAAAGAAAAGAAAAACAAGGGAAAGAAGAAATAAAAATGAAACATATATAAAATTCGAAATAATAGATTGTAATTAAATGCCTTGCTCACCTATAATTGTAATTATCGAAAAAAGGGAAGAAGAGAAAAGTTTCCGACCCATCAAATGCGAAACTTGTTATTTATCGGTATTTTCGAACATCCTACGAAAGATCGTGAGTGTATCTTTCTCGCAATGTTCTGCGAACTACGTACAAATGTAACGCGTTATTAGTATGTAGGTACTTACCTGGTTAGGTAGGTACATACATACTACTCTTCGTTCGGTATCTAGTAATAGTCGGTCCTCCGCCGAATTCGAACTCGAGACGATCAGTATGTAATACGTTGTACCATTACGCGTACAGAAACTATGACAATGCAGCGCACAGATTCATTATTATATTTTGCCAAATTAATCCATCGATATTCCTTCATTTAAAAAGACGTTCGTAAGATACGAGTTACTCCGTACTATTTAACTATCCGGTAGCGTAACGTCTCTCGAAGATTCTTAACACGAACCTAACGCTCGTGTCATCAGATTTCGTTCTGTTATTGGTATTATTTAACGACTAGTATTATTAAGCGGTAATTCGGCGTCGCATACGTGGTACAACTCGTGTTGGGTAAATTCGTACCACACGTGCGATGCCATATGACATACACACGTATGTTACATACTTACTCTGGTCTAGCTTTACTCGCACTCGTCCCGCTGTCTCCTACAGTTTTCTTACAGTCGCGTCCAGAGTGTAGATCTAAGTCTAGGGTCTAGTCTAGATCTAGAATCGAGAATCTACAGTCGAAACCTGTTTAAATAAAAAATCGTAGCGCTGTCCCGCACTGTCTGCGCAATGATGCCGACTACGCGTACGTACGTAGTCCGTTTTATTTATTTTTATCGAGCATGAATGCGACGCGACGATCATCCGTTTTTTCTATCTCGTTTTATCGATGCGAAGCAAGAGAATTTGGGGGGGGGGGTATGTACCTGTTCTAAATAATCTTACTGTACGTATGAAGCGTTTTCTTTTCTAAATACATATCTCGAACGTATTCCGTGCCTGAACGGGGCTGCAAATAGCGTATCTCCGTCGCGTTCTTCTTCCTGGACGGAATATAAGGAGACGCGAAAAACTTATCGACAATCCCCACTTTTAAGCCACTAAAGAGAAAGACATATTCTATTAACAGAGAGAATTCTACGAATATACATGTACATACGCTATGAGTGTACATAATCTAGACATAATATGTTTTGTATGTACATACATACGACGAATAATAAAGTGAGATGAAATTCATATGTAACGTACTTTAACGTTAAAGTTCCTCGAAATACCGATACCGAAATATCGTATCGTAGACAGTTGCGTTAAAGAAGAAATAAATTTCAGTGTTGCATATAATCGAATTTTATGTTCCTGCAGGCTGGATCGTATAGCCACAAAGAGATCTCGTGCATCGTGCATAATATACAGATTTGCGCGCGCTAATAATACGTTTAATTTGATTACGTATAACTATACATACGGCATACATGTATACATGTATGAAATATCGTGTAAAAATGTATTTAGGTCACACTGTTGCTAATGGAATGAGAAGCCATGGAATGGAAACAATCGTGGCGAACCGATTTGTCACCAGTACCACACCGCAGTCGTATCGATTCGCAGACATATTTCTCGTGATACACGCGACACACAATAGATTTTACAAACGATGAATAAAGTTGGCCGTTACTCTGATTTATGTAAACGATGTAACGTGTATATCAACGCTTCCTTAGAAAATTAGTAGACTGCTACCGATATTAATAATTATCACATTATTTTAATTACTATTAAATCAAATAAATTATAAAAGGAGTCTAGTGTGCAAACAAATCTCTGTTCCTGTTCCTGTGAAATTCAAAGACGACTCAATGCGGGTACGCGAGACGGATATGTATGCCGAAATATGCTCCTGCCCTGTTCCTAGTTCCAGATCGTATGAAATAAGCTGATGCGTAAAAAATATAATACGACGTAAGAGAAATTCAAATTTAATGCAACTTTCTCATTTTATTTTAATCTAATTGTAATTTAATGCACTTGCAAATATTAAATACCTAAAAACATACATATGTGATGAAATACTATATTTCCCAATAAGTCATTACATTTCATGTAGTTTAAGTTTTATCTACAACGTATATCGATAACTGATTGATCTAATTTCGCATACAAATATTTGTGTAAAAAATAAATGGTTGGTTAGCACGAATTATGTGAATCGCGTGGCAGCTGTTAGGTAATACATATTCTGTGTTATATAATAATTATTAATTGCATTGTTACGATAGAATGACAGTCGAATATGAACAAGTAATATTAGCTGCCACGCGATTTGCATAATTCATACTAATCAATCTTCGATTTATTACGCAAATGTTTGTGCATAAGTTACATTTTTTTTTATTTTCTGAGTCGAGTATAATAACTTAAATAGACTTGAATTGTGCATTCGCATGTTCAAATTACTAATGGTACTTCGAAAATGAAATCTTCGCAACTAACTGATTGTGAGCCGGGGAGGAGAGCATGGGCCACCGGGGGTTGCCTAGCTACCGCGGAGGTCGCTTAGTGGCCTTGACGGAGCGCGGGGCGATCGTACCGGCAGTGAACGGAGGTCATTTAGTGGCCTTGGCGGGGCGCGGACGACCAACTGAATCGGGAGAGTGGAAGTTACGCGGCACGTGACAGCTGCAAAAAAGCAATCTTCTTCTATCTCGAATATTTCAGGATCAATCGATTAATTCTTTCGTTCATCGTCAATTACTTTTTAATGAGTAGAGTTAGAAGGAAATTGCATTGGACCTTTCTTGTATCTGATAACTACAGCTTTTGTTGGAGAACTTTTTTTGCAATACAAATTTTTCTTAATTACTCTGACGCTTTAGCCAGAATTTTTCAAATCATCGAGGGGAGATTCTCCTGGTTTGGCGGCTGCTTTTAAATCTCGTCTATGATAACTCTGACTCTGCGCAATGCGCACTTCTATTCTTCATTGCGTTGAATTGTATATATGGAATGGCTTTAAGCATGGTCAGCGTCAGCATTAGACAGTAAACATTATTATTTACATGTTAATTTCAACAATCTGTGTAAAAACGGACAGATATAAACATGGCTACATCCTCAGACGTTGCTAAGGTACTGCATGCGCGTACTTTCATTAACGTTCGATTTATAAATTTACGTTATAAAAGTATAACCTATGCTACTAACCTGTTTAACCGGCTATATTTAAAGTAAATACAGAAAATGAGTACAATGTAATTTTCTATGTATTAACTGTAACATGTATAAATTTTTATAAATAAATTAATGTACGTACAAGACGTTATACATGTCTTTTATTTCTGTAGAATTGTAACGAATATACTGCGCACTATATAAGTATAGAATGAAAATAAAACGATAGAAACAAATTCTGGGATCCTAAGAATTGTATTAGCTAATGTAGATTTTTGTCATATATTAAAATATATAAAAATTTCATTTGATTGTTTTCTTTTAATTAATACAGATCAGACTAGAAAGATACTTGACCATGCCATTGGCACAGAGATGCAAGGAAATAGCGACGTTAATAGACGAATCCAGTACAACAGAGTTACAACACATTTTTCCAATATTGATAGACTCATTATTTTGCATTGGTTGGGGTAGCAAGATTGGTTGGGGTTTACGTACTATTACTTTCAAAAAGAATCCACAGGAATATGAAACACTGTGTAATTTCTTACATCCGCAAGGACCAGTTTTTTCTGTGTGTTACAAACTACTTCAAGACTCTTATTTGAAGTACAACTTTCCAATTTATTATCTACCAGTATGTAAAAGTACATCATAATAAAAACTGTACAACTAAAATGATTATATGTTTTACGTACATTTGTATTTTAGGCAAAAATACAATCGATGTTAAAGGAAGGTATGATACCACCTTTTTATCTGGACAAGATTAGAGATGATCAAGGCACACGTGGGGTGTCTGCTCTAAGCATGAGTATCCTTTATTTTATTACAGTTCTATAATTTAGTAGCTTTCAATGTGTTTATGAAATATAAATCCTTAACAAATATACATATCCCTTCGAGTATTACATCTTTCACTTCGCATATCATCTGACAAATCCTTGGATGCAAGAACATCAACAAGAGAATGTTTGGGTCAATTGGGAAACTGTATATGTTCAATTAGCACACTGTTATTTGTATCATTTTCTACCGAGAGATAATTCTCCGGTTTTACCAATTATAGGGCCATACATTAGAAAAACATCTCAACGAAAATTAATACAGTCACCTGAATCTAAAAGGTATCTGTCTCAGCAATAAAAAAAAGACGCACTGAAGAAAGAGAGAGAACGATTGCATACAATTGCAATTCGGTAGAGCTGAACGATAAATTAAAAATTTTAATCGGACATTTTTACAGAATGCAAACGCCACGACTTTTGAGAACCTCGATATTGTCGCCAGGATCGCCGAATTCCACGAGCGTACCGCAGCAACAATGTTTACCACAAGTTTGGCGAAGCGAGACAGTGGTTCAAGTATTTCTTGATTTTTGGGTTGATTATGTGGAAGATGATCAAGTAAATTCACGATTAAATTCAATGTACTACGTGTCCGTCCCACGTCGGGTAAATATTCACACCTTCAATATTTTTTTCTTGTAAACTGTACGAATATGCGTGTAACTTAAATTACAGTGCAGCATCCATTCTGGAGAACATATACGTCTGGTGAGGGCGTTTATAAAAACGTTGCACGAATTCGCGAACAGCGCGACAGGCGATAAAAGTGCAATGGATGAGCTCAAACGGTATATAAACACGGAATTTAGAAATGAATAGTATTCAAGTACTGTTAAAGTAAAAAAAATATGGTGAACGTTGTTTTGCAGGATAATTTTACCATCCGTTCAAGGCAAAATCTACACATTCCTTAGAAAAGCTATATATCATTGGCCTCTGGATAGTTCATTTAGATTAATCCTTGAAGCATGGTTAAGCTTCATTCAACCATGGAGATATCTTCCTGGTATAACGTATACCAAAGAAGGGTAAGCGTGTAATTAAAATAAAAATCAAGAAAATGCTGTCTAATATATTGAAAAATGTCTTATTTTTGTACAGTAAATTAGAAGAAGAAGAAAGAGGAAAAATTCATGACGAATCCAGATGGATGCCTTTCATTGCGAACAATCTGTTAGCTTATACGGCAATATTCCAACAATTGCTTCCACGATTTATGATAACAGATCTAGTAGCTCCAAAAAATGCATTGATGTTGTTTAGAGTTACAAAAGTATGTCAAATTTTCACGAACGGTTTTAATAAATATTTATACACATTTTATTAAGCATGAATTCCTTAGGTTTTTTCGCAACCATACTTAGGTAAAATAATATGCGAAATAGAAAGTCACATGGATGACGTAGGTTTCAGCAGAAGTCGCATGTCGACGAACCTATGGACCTCAATTGTGCGACAGCAAATTTTGGAGCTCGAAGGACCGACGTATCAATACGTTCCAATGTTTTCTACGGCTACTGCTTCACAGGTACATGAAACGTGCAAAATATAAACACGAACAAAATCTTATTTTAGAGTTTTTATCGCAGGTCGTATCTTTATTGACCACAATTAAACAAGCTCACGTAACAGCAACTAGTTTAGTTGATGCATTGGAAAAGAGAAGGAAGAATAGAGGATTTTTGTTAGCAGTATGGGAATTCTTCAATGGTGAAGATCACTGTTCGGACGATATTAGTATAGAAGAACGACGTCGTGTTCCTGTTTATCTAGCGAATGCACATCAACAATTAATCGAAATTTTACAGGTAACTAAGAAGATAGGAAACCTAAATTATAGGTAAAATATACATGATTTTTGTAGATTCAAGTAGAAGACATTCCTGAAGTATCTATCAAAGCCGATGAAGAATATCATGACAGCATTCTATCCACGTCGTTTTGTCATCAATCACAGGTATATTGTTACTAGTAACTTGTAGTTAATAAAAAGCTCATTACTTGATACTTTTTCAGTTGGACTCTAGCTTAGATACAAGTAAACCAGGTGTATTTGTACCTATTCAAAAAGATAGACAAACTTGTCAATATATCGAGTATTTAGGAGATCCCGAATTGCAACCAGTTCGAAGTACCGAATGTGGAGTCCTAGTTAAATATTTTTATAAATTGTGTACACATATAAACTTGAAGGTAATTATTTATCAGGAATGCAATATTGTGAAAAACTATTATAAATCATTTTCTGATCTTTTGCATCGTCAAGAAAGGTTCTGTTATTCTGTGTTATTCAATGAATATGTAATAATTTAATTAAAGTACCAGCAACAGATAACTAGGATGTACCACCGGCCAGGCTTTTTCGGCAGCATATGTCGACAAATTCTACAACCACCGACGAAAGTAGTAAAATTACAGAAACGAACGCAGAACGGATTGTCCAGCAGATACGAGGAACGTATCCCCCCTCGGTTGAGTTTACGACCGCTGGCTAATTATAGTTTGCTTGTAACCATAAGTTTCGGCATATTTATGGTTTGGCTTACAAAGTACGAGCGTTCATCCTTAATCGATGTTACGATTATTTCGGTAGCCAAGGGTATAACCGGTCGATTTATTTGCAGTTACGGAATCATCACGTTTCTCGGATTGGCTGTTTGTCTGTGGTCCGTGTACATAATAATACGTGCAACGTTGGAGCCATTGACACGAGCGAACAGAAATACCTTTAGAGCCAGTACCACGACGTTTTCTATGAACTGACTCATCCGTGAAATTATTGTTTGAGACCCGAGACATGTACCATTGTACAATATTCCAAATACATATAAATTTATACGCGCATTGTATTGTTTCATGTTGAATGTAATTTAAATTTGACTTAATAAAAGGCTATATATTTTCTAAGAGCACGAAAATGACCATTATTTTATTCTCACTTGAAGATCTTTCCCAATAATTTATGAGTTTCATAAAAATCTACAGAGGCAACCGGAAGAATTCGATGTAATATCGATGTGGTAAATTAGCTTTTCAAATCTACCCTCGAATACCATTCGAAGCAGTTATTATTTAATCAACATCGTGATCGAATAACCAATCATTTACTGTCAATCGTGTAGCGCGCGAGTACGTTGCCTCGGGTAAGTACAGAAAGGTTCGTTAACGTCGATATTGTGAGTTGGGAAATTGATATTGGACTGCGATTGAAACCTTCCAGATGGAAGGAGTGGATAGAAGAAAATCGAAAGATGGAATTGGTAATTCTCTCTCGTTCTCATATGCCATGTAATATATCGTTACTTTTTCTCATCTACTTTACGTATACTGATAGAAACTTTAAGACACTTTTTTCATTAACGAATGTGTATTTAATAAATCTGTGCGCATTTATCCTCTATTTAATAAAAACGGCAGACATCAAGTTAATTTTACAGCTAGCGGAAAAACTATCTCTAATTAAATCCCGCTAGTCGTCAATTTCTTTTATGTCTGCTTATGTCTCCCTAACTAGGTGTTGACCACCTGAATTATCGCACCAAGTAAACTGTGTTTCATATCTATATGTATAAGGAACGAGCATAACAAAGTGTGCCACACAATGAAGCCAATTGGATCTTGTTAACCGGTTAATTATAATTCCTCGGCAATTTTTCACGAAACCAAGGCTGGCCTGCGGTTCCTTTAGAATAGCATGTAGAAACTCTTCCCTCATTAAACAATTTGTTTCTTTAATCAATTTGCATCCCTGTTCGTTTATAAATTGCGTACAAAGTTCAAAGTACCTTTCTTTTTATTACACATCTTTTTGGATTCTTTTAATTGACCAGGAAGTTTGTGGTTGCACCGTAAGTTTCACGATCCCCTATTTATTTTCAATCGCATAGATGTTTAGTAGCATGGCCGTATTTACGTGTCTCATGCAACACAAACCTGACTCGTTTTCGATTCATTAGCGCACCGGCGGCGCAGCGCGGTGCAAACTTGCATTCCCCGGTCCCCGGTGTCGTCGTCCAGCCAATGCAAAACGGAGTCATTCAGCTTTCGAGACGCAATTATGGATCCTTTTATGCGACATACAAACGACCAGTTACGCATCCGTTACGTACAATAAGCACGTTTTACTTATTGAGAATTGACTCGTTCACTGTTCGTTAACTCTACGTTTTAAGAAAGGTGTCTCTTAAGCAGTTGCAGTCACGCGTTCGTAACAATAAATTGCGTTTCCAGCGGCCCTCATTGAAAAAGATTGGTTCCACAGGATGCACTACCAAAATTCAATATAATCTCCCTTTATTAGCGCTCGAATGATCTCAAATCGTTGTCACATTCTATTCGTTACATTAAAAGTGAGAAAATACGTAATAATGGAGTTATATAATCAATGCTGGGTAAACATTGATTTATCGGAAAGCCGTTGACAAATGCCGATTGTGTAATTATTCTACGCAAATTTTTATCATTGCGTAACTAAATATACTGTCTTGCTTTTTTTCAGTTAAATCATTTATCAGTTAAAATACAAGAGTTTTTCGTTCTCTGTGTGATTGATTATACCGTTTTATTTTATCTTAAGTGAGCGTGTATCTTTGAACAGAATGCCACGAGGGAAAGGTTTCGAAATGAAAAATAAGTTCTATACAAAAAAAGCTGAGTTTTCATTCCATTTAGAAATTACACCCACTTTAATTTCACATGCACATGCTCACTGCCGCTTCGGGGGAGGGAAACGGTACCGCGAATCATTAGTCTAATCAGGCTGAAGTATGTAAAGACAGGAGGGAATATGTACTTCAACCAGTTTTTGGAATTAATATGATAACGGTATTATACACGGATGCAATTGAGTATCGAGAATGCAAATGATCTCAATCACTTTTTATCTCGAGAGAATCAAAGTTCAGTTGATTCATTATACAATTTGTATTTAGCATTAAATCTTTAACTATTCATTGTTGGAGTTGTAAAAAAAATGTTGACTCAAATCTATGCCATAATTAATAATCTTTAGGTTCACAAACCCGAAAATATCATTACGTATCTTTTTTAAAAATATGACTTATACTACTTGCATTTTCACATACGCTTATCTTTTTCTAAGAAAAATTGCTCTTCCGATCGGAGCATCTTGAATACTGTATTACGTAAAAGAAGTATTATACATATATTACTTCAAGGCAACAGAATGAGTCATACTGTTACACTATCAATATGGAAGTAAGATGCTTCCGTCAATCAAAATTCCATTATCAAACCCACGTATAACTTTATTGATTTTCACGTTGAACAAACTTATAAAAATCGCTATTTAATTAAACTGTAAATCGAAGTCGGGAGAAATAAAGATTTGATTATGGAGTGTAAAAAATTCTATTATGCATTCATTAACAATTAAGATTAACAAATGTTAGATGTTAATAGTGATTGCTTCATAGAGGCGAATAATATGGAGGACTTCGGAACGTCCTTGACCTTACGCTCGCTATTCACTTTGCACCGACGAGAAGAAACCATATCCTATCGATTGACTTATTTACATATGTATATACATTTACACACGCAGATACAGGCTTTGTTTCAAAAATTCGCAGGTTTCATAAGACACAGCCATGAAATTGATAGAACCTAGTAGCTGTTACCGCGTATCGAGGTAATTACGTAATTGCCACCCATTAGAACAATGTGGTAACACGGCAAAGGTAGAAGACACGCTCGAGCAAGTAAAATTCATCGTTGATTTTATTACGCCCTGTAATTTCTCCTCCTTGTTCCAACTCCCCGATACGAATCGTTAAAACATTAATTTAAGTGGACCTATATTAGAAAATCGATACTATCTGCGAAAAAAAATTATACATACGGTCTTCAGACGTATACATGTTGAATCAATCATCGTGGGATATATACTTTGCCATAAAATTCTATCTCTACAAACTCGCCGGCGAACTCGATTTCTCGTTTCAAATAAACTTATACATGTGTACACCCACAACATCAGAACATCATCCGCGTATGAGACCTCGGGACGTGTAACCACCTTCCACGAAAAAGAGAACGAAAAATCCGCAGACCTATTTGTCACACTAGCCTTGACGATAATCCAATCCTGTCTAATGTCGAACGGAATAACAAATACCCGCTTGTTTGCAAGACGATCCGATTCGACTAATAGATCACCGAGAAAGTAGTCTATTTCTACGATTTGTATCCTGGTACGTCCATCCTAATCGACTAGAGAGTAACACTGTGACAG